AAAAGCAGGAATCAGAGCCCAATTTATAGCAATAAATGCACACATCAAAAAAGAAGAAAGAGCCAAAATCAACACTTTAAACCAACATCACCAACAATTAGGAAAAGAAAAGCAAGAAGAGCCCACAGTCACCAGAAGAAAGGAAATAATAAAGATTTGGGCAGAAATCAATAAAACAGAAAATAGAAGGGCAATTTTAAAAAAAAAAAAATCAACAACATCAGAAGTTGGTTTATTGAAAAGATCAATAAAATTGACAAGCCACTGGCAAATTTAACAAAGGAAAAGAGGGAGAGAATACAAATAACACAAATAAGAAACAAAATGGGCGACATCAGAACAGAACCAACTGAAATAAAAAGGATAATATCAGGATACTATGAAGAATTGTATTCCAACAAATTTGAAAATCTGGAAGAAATGGACCAAATTCTAGAAACACACCACTTACCTAAACTAACACAGACTGATGTGGAAAAGTTGAACGGATCTGTAACAAAAGAAGATATTGAACAGGTCATCAAAAAATTACCAACAAAAAAAGTCCTGGCTGAGACGGTTTCACCAGAGAATTCTACAAAACATTCACAGAAGAACTGACATCATTCCTACTCAAACTATTCCAAAACATAGAAAAGGATGGAATCCTAGCTAACTCATTTTATGAAGCAAGCATAACCTTGATACCAAAACCAGGCAAAGACATCACTCAAAAGGAAAACTACAGACCAATATCCCTCATAAATATACATGCAAAAATCTTCAACAAAATTCTAGCCAATACACTCCAACAACGTATCAAGAAAATCATTCATTATGACCAGGTGGGGTTCATATCAGGTATGCAAGGATGGTTCAACATTAGAAAAACAATCGACATCATCCATCACATAAATTAAACAAAAGAGAAGAAACACATGATCATATCAATTGATGCAGAAAAGGCATGTGATAAAATCCAACACCCATTCTTGATCAAAACTCTCAGCCAAATAGGAATGGAAGGGACATTCCTCAACATAATAAAGGGCATCTGTGCAAAACCAACAGCCAATATTATACACAATGGAGAGAGACTGAAACTATTCCTCTTGGAACCAGGAACCAGATAAGGATGCTCTCTATCACCACTTCCATTCAACACTGTACTGGAAGTCCTAGCCAGGGCCATAAGGCAAGAAAGGGAAATCAAAGGCATCCAAATTGGTAAGGATGAAGTCAAACTATCCCTATTTGTTGATGATATGATCCTATACCTAGAAAACCCAAGAGACTTAGTGAAAAATCTACTGGAACTAATTGAGAATTTTAGCAGCATGGCAGGATACAAGTTCAACATCCAAAACTGAGCTGGATTCCTCTACACCAGCAAAGAGATTACTGAAAAAGAAACAAGGAAATCAATACCATTTATAATAACTACCCAAAAAATAAAATACTTGGGAATAAATTTTACCAGGGACACAAAAGATGTGTACAAAGAGAACTATAAAAAAACTACTTCAAGAAACCGTAAGACATCTACATAAATGGAAGAACATACCTTGCTCATTGATAGGAAGACTGAACATTGCGATAATGTCAATACTACCCAAATCAATCTATACATTAAATGCAATCCCAATCCAGATCCCATCAATTTTTTAAGGATATGGAAAAACCAATCACTAAAACTTTATACAGAAAGGAAAGAGACCTCGGATAAGAAAAGCATTATTGAAGAAGAACAAAGTAGGAGGTCTCACACTGTCAGATCTCAAAACCTACTATACAGCCACAGTAGTCAAAACTGCCTGGTATTGGTATAATGACAGATACACAGACCAATGGAATCGAATTGAGACCCCAGAAATAGATCCATCAACCTATGGTCAGCTGATCTTTGACAAAGGGCCAAAATCCATTAAATGGGGAAGAGAATGTTTGTTTAATAAATGGTGCTGGCAAAAGTGGATATTTATTTGCAGAAAAATGAAACAAGATCTGTACCTCACACCATACATAAAAACTAACTCCAGATGGATCAAAGACTTAAATGTGAAACCTAAAACTATACAGTTCCTCAAGGAAAAACTAGGGGAAAATTTAGGGGCCCTAATATATGGCATAAATAGACCATCAAGCATAACCCAAAATGCACAAACAGCAGAAGAGAAACTAGATGAATGGGACTTTCTAAAATTAAATTTTTATGTGTTTCCAAAAACTATTCCAAAAGAGTCAAAAGAGAACCTTCAGATTGGAAAAAAATATTTGATAATGACATAACTGATAAAGAATTATCTCTAGAATTCATAGATAACTCCAACACCTCAATAACAAAAAGACAAATAATCCAATTAAAAAATGGGTAGAAGACATGAATAAACACTTCACCGAGGAGGATATTCAGGCAGCCAACAAACATATGAAGAAATGCTCATGATCATTAGCCATTAGAGAGATGCAAATCAAAACAACAATGAGATACCATCTTGCTCCAGCACTAGTAGCAAAGTTCAACTAGACACAAAATAACAAATGCTGATGAGGATGTGGAGAGATTGGGACTCTCATACACTGCTGGTGGGACTGTAAAATAGGACAACCACTGTGGAAAGCAGTATGGCGATTCCTTCAAAAGTTGGAATTAGAAGTGCCCTTTGACCCAGACATTCCACTACTAGGTATATATCCTAAAGAATTGAGAGCCAGGACAAGAACAGATATATGCACACCCACTCATTGCAGCACTATTTACAATCGCCAAAAGATGGAAACAACCTAGGTGTCCATCAACTGAGGAATGGATAACCAAACTATGGTAGATACACACAATGGAATACTATGCAACCCTAAAGAATAACCTAGAATCTGCAAAATACCGCATAATGTGGATGAATCTGGAGGACATTATGCTAAGTGAAATAAGTCAATTACAGAAGGACAAATATTGTATTAGTCTGTTATTGTAAAAGTCAAGGAAAGGTTTATCTATGGAAGGAGATTTTCTTTGTTGGTTACCAGGGGTGGGAGGAGAGGGGAGGGAACACTGTTAGATAGGTAGAGATAAGTATTGATTTGGGTGAAGAGAAGGGCAATGTAACAAATGTGAATGATCAACATAGTGGCACTGAGGAAGAGGAAGACATAGAGAGGTACACGGGAGGTATAGACAACAAAGATGAACCCTTTTGCCCATACAGTACTGCATTGTCAGTGAAGGCAAACATGGGTATATGGGTGGATAGATGGGTGTACAGGCAGAATTAATAGGTATGTCTATGAATCGGGGAATGTACCCAAGACCGTGTATAGGGTTGGCAGACAATGGTCCTATAAATGTATTTATATGATCTGAAATCCCAGGTGTCTAGTAGAGCTGACAAGGGACAAGGTTGTAGGCACTTCTTGGGCACCGCCAGCTACCCAGAGGGACCAAGTAGTTGAGCCTGTGGGCACAGGACCATAGTCACAGGGGACATCAAGCTCAATTGTCATAACATACTACATAAAACATTGTTCCACCTCCTACTTTGGTGAGCAACGATTGGGATCTTAAAAGCTTGCAAGCAGCCATCTAGATGCAACGATGGGTCTCTCCTCATCCAGACGAAACAAGAATGAAGAAAACCAAAGATTCATGGAAATAATTAGTCCTAGCATCTAATACACCATGTGATCCACAGCCTATACGACTATAAGACCAGAAGAACTAGATGGTGCCCGGCTACCACTGTCAACCACTCGGAGGGGATCTATGTTGGAGATCCTGGATAGAGGGGGAGAACAATGTGTAACAAAATTCAAAATTAGTTGGAAAAAGAAAAAAAGGTGGAGAGGAGGACCAGGTTTGCTGGTCTGATAGAGCCTGGTGGAAGCACTGAGACTATTGCCCCCAGCTGCCAGTCAGGTCTAGAATTGAACCCATAACTGTGGCTTCCAGCCAAACAAACGATAGGCATAGGAGTTGAACATTTACCTGAGGTAGATACACTCCTTGGAAAGAACAATCATGGGAGAAAAAAGGGCTATTTATGCACAGGGAGACAGCTCAGGGGGCAGGAGTGCATGGATGGATGGACACAGGGAAGAGGTAACTATTGGGAGGAAGTGGGAGGGGAACTGTTGCATTATGGTAAATTGTAGTCATTGTCATGAGACAAAGTGTATGTGAACTGCTGTATGGAAAGTGAATTTGCTCTGTAAATTTTCACCCAAATCACAATTTTTAAAAAAAGACAAATATTAGACAAAATAGAGTATTCTGACTTATGTATTTGTTTTTAAATCAAAACTCTAAATTCCTTATCATTATTAGTATTACATACTTATATTCATACTATAATGAGGTTGCTATATTTCATTGCTAAGTAATAAATAATATCATACACATCCCATTCTTTACTTATTGACATGGTTAGGAGCTCTGGTAGCATAGTGGCTAAGGCACTTGACTGCTAACCAGAAGGCTGGAGGTTCAAACCCACTAGCCACTCCTTGGAAGGAAGGTTGGGCATTCCTACTTCCGTACTGATATTGCCTCAGAAACCCAAGGAGGGGTCGCTATGAGTCGGGGCCAACTCGATGGCAAACAACAACAACAATATTTCATTGCTAAGTAATAAATAATATCATACACATCCCATTCTTTACTTATTGACATGGTTAGGTTACAAAGACCAGATCGTTATACAAAAACTAGTGTTATGCAAAAAGGGAGTATGACCACATCAGATCACAAAATGGAAGGTGACTATATCATTATATAACCACCAAATTATATCTTTATGTAACTAAGAAACTACTAAGAATCATGGTCTATGCAATTTGACATAAAACATAAACCATCACAGCCAGCATTACTCTCTCCTCAGACTTCAGCATTCATTACTCCCAGACATATGTCAGTCTCATAGTAGATCTTTCACTACTGTGGTAAATACAAAATGTCAGATAATGAGATAGTTGGTAAGTCATGAGTAGATTGATCATTTAGAACACAAAAAACTTTCTCTTACATTTTCCAGCTCTGAATTATCACTTGTATTTGCTTGAATTTTCTCTGGAAATATTATCTGTAGAAATGAGTTTTGAGAACCTGGAGGGGAAAAAAAATAGTTAATAACTCAGTCTCAAACCTGACTAAATATTTGCTTAGTCTTTTTCATAAGGTTTACTTATGCAAGTATGAGAGATTCATCACTGTGTATTCCTACGAAAATCTTGGAAGTAATTAATTTGTAAAACAGTCAATAGGATTGCTATACACGGAATCGTGTCCCTCCAAAAAAAAAAAAGGAAAAAAAAAGAAAAGTTGAATTAATAAAGGAGATGTAATCAGTTAGGTTCACATAAAGTCATACCAAAGTTGGATGGGTCTTAATCCTCTCTGAGTAGTGTCTTACAAAAGCAGAGGGGAAGAAAAAAAAGCAGGGGGCAGATGCACGAATAAAAATGGCCATGTGACAACTGAGAAAGATGCAGCTGCAAACCAAAGAACATCAAGAATTGCTGGAGATCACCAACAGCTAGAGGATAGGCATGAAGCGGTTGCTGTCTCAGAGCCCTCAGAAGAAATCAATATGGCTGATTTAGAATTCTAGACATAAAAAAATGTTAACTTTGAGACAATAAATTTGTTCTTTAAAGCTACTCAGTTTGCGACATTTTGTTATGGCAGCCTTAGGAAAGTAAAAAAATGATAGATGATAAAGATCAAAAAGAGGGAGTATAGGTAATCAACATATACAGAATTTACTGCTCCTAAGAAAATATTCCTTAGAAGCAAGGATGGTGAGATTTTGACTCACATAACTATAAACACATTATCAAACCATCTGTAGAGAAGAACATCATGTTTAGTAAAGTAGAGGGTCAGCTAAAATAAAGGAAAACTTCAAGCAGATGGATTGACAAATAATCACAACAACGGATTCTGAAAAAGGCACAGAACTGAGCAACATCTCATTCTTTTATGAATAAGGTCATCATGAATTGGAGCCGACTCAATTGCAACTACTACCAACAATAAAAGAAAACAAAAGAAACTGGATAAAAAATAATTGAAGATACACTTAAAAATTTTTATGAAATAAAATATTTGAAATGATAGACTGAAAAGTACACTGTATTCCAGGAATAACTGACAATAATTAATTGAAATTGAGACATAGTCTACTAAAGTTATATATACAGAAATAAAGAATCCTATGGCCATATGAGATAAAAGAAAAAGAAAATCATATTAGGTATAATAGGATGTAGAGAAGCAGGCTGGCTTAAAAAAATTTTACAACAGTATTCAACAATAAAAGATTCAAGTTGCTGATGTTATTAGGTGCCATTAAGTTGGTTCCAACTCATAGCAACACTTTGCAAAACAGAACAAAACACTGCCTAGTCCTGCACCATCCTCAAAATTGTTGTGTTTAAGCCCAATTGTTGTAGCCACAGTAATGGCAGTACAATGCTATGATCTTGTCTCAGATCCTCATCAAATCTCTGGCTTTGTTTCCACCTGTATCAAAAACATCTCACCATCTATGGCAAATAAAATACCAGCCCTCGAAGATGTCTGCACCTAATCCCCAGGCCTTTGATTACGTTAGGTTACATGGCAAAGTAGAATGTAGGTTGGAAATGAAATTAACATTGCTAATCAGTTGACTTTAAAACAAGGAGATTATCCTTGATTACCTGGATGGGTCTAATGTAGTCACAAGGGTCCTTAAGAGCAGAAGAGGAAGGCACCCCAATGCTGCTGGCTTTGAGATGGAAAAAAGGAGCCACAAGCCAAAGAATATAGGTGGCCATTCCAAAAAAAAAAAAAAACAAACAAACTCACTGCCATCGAGTTGATTCCGACTCATAGTGACCCCCATTGGGTTTCTGACGCAGCAAATCTTTATGGAAGCAGATCACCCCATCTTCCTTCTGCAGAGCAGCTGGTGGATTTGAACCACCAACCTTCTGGTTAGCAGTGAAATGCCTTAAGCACTGTGCCACCAGAGGTCCTTCAGTGGCCATTAAAACCAAACAAAACTCACTGCCATTGAGTCAAATCTGACTCATAGCGACCCCTCCTTGGGTTTCCGAGGCGGTATCTCTATGGAAGTAGATTGCCCAGTCTTCCTTCCGAGGAGTGGCTAATGGGTTTGAACTGCCAACCTTCTGGTTAGCAGTCAAATGTCTTAGGCACTATGCCAGCTGGAAAAGGTAAGCAGGCATATTCTCCCTTATGTTCCACAAGGAACATAGCCCTACTGATATCTTGCTTTTAGGTAAATGAGACCCATTTTGACCTTCTGAAATTCAGAACTGCAAAATAATAAATTTGTATTGCTTAAGCCACTAAATTTTTGGTAATGTGTACAAAAGCAATAGGAAATTATTACATGATCTAAGCAGAACCTATAGGTAGATCAAGGAGTTGGCATTTGAACAGAAAAAAGGGAATACTGTGTGATTCAAAATTGGAAAAGCTTTGTGGCAGGTATACTTTCACTTTCCTTATTTGATGTGTATTCTGAACAAAGAACCTGAGAAGTCAGACTATATGAAGAAAAACATGGCATGGGATTGGAAAAAGACTCATTAATAACTTATGACATGCAGATTACACACCCTTGCTCGCCAAAAATTAAGACGACCCGAAGCATTTACTGGTAACAGTCAAAGACTGAAGCCTTCAGTATGAAGTATGCTTAAACATAAAGAAAATGAAAATCCTCACAACTGGACCAATAAAAAATATCATGTGAAATGGAGGAAAAATGAAGTCAATGATTTCATTCATTCTACTTGTATCAACAATCAATGTCCATGTATGCAACAGTCAAGAAATGAAAGGGGAGGTGATCTAAGATGGTAGTATAGTCAGATGTCTCATACTATCCCCCTTCCAAAAACAAAGACCAAAAAAAAAAAAAAACCAAGTCACTGGTCTTGCAAAATTCTATCATGCGATCTATGGCGTCATTTCTATCAGTAAGGCCAATATTTTCCATCTACCAATGCTACTTTTTGTTTCCAACTTTTGCATTCCAAGCACCAGTAATTATCAATACATCTTGTCAGAGGGACCATTCCCTGGAGAAGGATATCATGCTTCGTGAAGTGGAGGATCAACGAAAAAGGGGAAGGCCCCCAATGAGATGGACTGACACAGTGGCTCCAACGATGGGCTAAGGTATAGCAAGGATTGTGAGGCTGGCACAGGACCGTACAATGTTTTGTTCTGTTGTACATGGGTTGCTATGAGTCAGAGCTAGCTCGACAGCACCTAACAACCACAGTAACAACACCTTTTAGCCACACAATAGACAGGCCTACAAAGGGAACAGAAACACTGTGAGGAATGTGTTCCTCAGAACCTTAAGACTAAAAGGGTAGCATCTGACCAAAAATAAAGGTCAGGATGGGGCAGGAACAAAAGCAAACAGAAATGGGGAACCCAAAGAGGAAGTGGAAGAGTGCTATTATATTACATTGAGGGAATTGCAACTAACATTACAAAACAAAATGTGTATAAATTGTTGAATGGGAAACTAATTTGCTCTATAAACTTTAAACAAAACCACAGTAAAATGTTAAAAAAAAATCCACAGTGAACATTGATTTTATAAACCAATATTGGTAATAATAATTACTAATGTGAGAGAAATAAGAACAAAGTGAAACTACAATTCTGGACAAGGGTAACACATAAAATGGGATTAGAGTTAAAAGTACCTACAGTTCTTGCATTGTTCAAGAGAGCAGAGACTAATTAATTTAGAGTCTATTGGTCAAGCATGTTTATTAAATTTACAAGGAAAACCACTAAAAGGATAGAAATAGAATGTAGATTCTTCAAGCTAGTAGAAGACAAAGAATGAGAAATAAATTAATTGATAAAAACAAAGGAAGGTAGGTTCTGACAGAAATTAATCCAAAATGTTAGTAATCCTAATAAATACAAATGACCTAAACTTGCTGGTTAAAAGAGATTTCCAAATTCAATTTGTTTTTAATCCAGCTACATTTTGTTTTAAAGAGTCACATACAAACATAGGCAGAGAGAATTAGAAAAAAAAAAAGGGACTAAACAATGCATGAAATGGATAACCAAAAGAACTAGATGCTGTTGTTAGGTGCCATTGAAACGTCTCCAACTCACAGTGGGCTTATTATGTACAAAAGAACGAAACACTGCCCAGTCCTGCGCCATCTTTATGATCCCTGCTATACCTAAGCTGATCACTGTAGCCACTGTGTCAATCCATCTCGTTGAGGGCCTTCCCCCTTTTGACTGACCTTCCACTTTACAAAGCATGATATCCTTCTCCAGGAAATGGTCCCTTCTGACATGACCAAAATAAGTGAGACACAGTCTAGGCATTCTCACTTCCAAGGAGCATTTTGACTGCACTTCTCCCAGGACAGATCTGTCAGTTCTTTTAGCAGTCCCTGGTACTCTCAGTATTCTTCGCCACCACCACAACTCAAAAGCATCAACTCTTCTCCATCTTCCTTATTCATTGTCCAGCTCTCACATGCATATGAGGCAATTGAAAATACCAGGGCTTGGGTTGGGCGCACCTTAGTCTTCAAGGAGACGTCTTTGCTCTTTAGCACTTGAAAAAGGTCTATTGCAGCAGATTTGCCCAACGCAATATGTCTTCCGACGTCTTGACTGCTGCTTTCACTGGTGTTGATTGTAGAACCAAATAATATGAAGTCTTTGACAACTTCAATCTTTTCTCCTTTTATCATGATGCTGCTTATAGGTCCAGATGTGAGGGTTTTTGTTTTCTTCATATTGAGGTGTAATCCATACTGCAGAATCTAGTCTTTAATCTTCATCAGTAAGTGCTTCAAGTCATTCTCACGTTCAGCAAGCAAAGTTGTGTCGTCTGCATATCACAGGTTGTTTATGACCCTTCCTCCAATCCTGATGCCACGTTCTTCTTCATACAGTCCAGCTTGTTAGATTATTTGCTCAGCATACAGATTGAATAAGTATGGGGAAATATACAACCCTGACACACTCCCTTCCTGATTTTAAGCCATGCAGTATCCCCTTGTTCCTTTTGAAAGATGGCCTCCTGGTCTATGTAC